ACCCCCCACATGGACCTCACTGATTCTAAAAACTCCAAACACCACCAACCCAACTCCTCTTCCTCCACCACCACCACCACCTCCGCCGTTGTTCCCACCATCTCCTCATCCGCCACACAATCCTACCTCCCTCACCGCCTCCATGGCAGGTCACCGCTGTTCATCTCCACCCTCCACCCGCAGCCGCCTCTCTCCGCCGCCGTCGGCGGCGCCTCGTCTCCGTCGCCTTCCCCAGCCTCCGCTCCGCCGCAGGCCGTGGACGCCTCCCTGGCCATCGCAACCAGGTCAGAAACCCTACCCGACCCCAAGACGACGCCGGCCTCCCATCAGAAGCAGCTTCAGCCATCATCATCCTCCGCCCCTCCTAAGAGGTCGACAAAGGACCGGCACACCAAGGTTGACGGCCGTGGGCGGCGCATCCGGATGCCGGCAACCTGCGCGGCTAGGGTTTTCCAGCTTACCCGCGAGCTTGGCCACAAGTCCGACGGCGAGACAATCGAGTGGCTTCTCCATCAGGCGGAGCCGGCCATCATAGCCGCCACCGGCACCGGCACGATTCCGGCCAATTTCTCCACCCTCAACATCTCTATGAGGAGCAGCGGCTCCACCCTCCTTGCGCCGCCCTCCAAATCGGCTCCCCTCTCTTTCCACAGCTTAGCCGCTCAACACCCCAATAATTACCCTAATTATGAGGAAAGCTTCACTCATATGTTAGGGCTTCACCACCACCAACAACAACCGCCGCCGCCACTTCTTCTACCCGCGGCTCAAATTCCGGAGGAGAATTATGCACGGAAGAGATACAGAGAGGATTTATTCAAAGAAAACAATTCGGAAAATTCTCCGGGCGGCGAAGGACCCAGCTCGCCTTCTAAAACCCGCAACAGCGTCCAAATTGTGCACAAGGAGGCACAGCCCACGGCCATGTGGGCCGTGACCCCGGCGGCGACCGGCGGCTCCGGTAGCACGTTCTGGATGCTTCCGGTGACAGGTGGAAATGGGGCACAGACATCGGAGGCGTCCCAGATGTGGCCCTTCGCCGGTGGGAGCACGGTGCAGGCGCCGCTTCACTTGATGCACAGGATTAATTACTCGGGGAATCTCGATTTTCATCAACCTTCTCAGCATCTGGGATTGGGAATGGCGGCCGAGTCCAATCTCGGAATGCTACCGACTTTTAATGCTTATAATAATAATTCGAGAAATAATCTGAATGTGAATTCCGAGGATGTCGAGCAGCAGCAGCAGCAGACAGACAGTGACGATGACGGCCAAAACACTTCCCACTAAATTCATCCCGTCGTCTGAGGTACAAAATGTAGACAATTTGTTTATTTATTTATTTTTTTTTTTTAGTATTATTATTAAAAATGATATTTTAATTATTATTAAATTTTAATTTCAATTAATTTGATATTTTTTAGCAGTGAAAACAGGCAGGCTGTGGGAAGCAGAAGGGGATGATGATGGGTACCCATAAAGAAGACGACAAAGGTATCATCAATCAGTGATATTTCTGGAATTTTAATTTAATTAATTATTGTTTGTTGTGGGTTTGTTATTTTTGCTTTTATTTTTATTTTTTATTTTTTATTTTTATTGTTTTTGGGTGGAATCTGTGTGTTGGGTGTTATTAGGTAGGGAGATGCTACAATCCCGTTACGAAACATTTCGTCGCGATTTGTAACATATCCCTATTAGTTTGGTCGGAAAAGGGGGCATTTTAGGATTATTTATTTTAGGCGTGCCAGCGTGTGAGAGAAAAGAGTGTGTGTTGATTTTGTATAGGTATTTATTTATTACTACTATGATTTTCAGCTTTTTTTTTTGTTTTAATTTATTGTTTTTTGAGCAACCAAACAAGAAATTATTGAGTGGATTAATGATTTGTGTGATAAACTGTCTGTTTATATATATAATGTGATGCTGAAAATGAGGTTGGGTTTGCCAATATTTGAGGAAATTAACGAAAAAGGGGTAAGAAGATCCCGAGAGAAAGTTACCATGATTTTATTATTCATAAAAATAAAAGATTCCTATTTTTTTTTTTTCCAATGTCAAATGTCTTGGCTAAAAGTTGGCAAAATCGCAATTTTAATCCTATTAGTTTGATCTTGTAGCGTTTTTAGTTTTAAGAATTGAACATTTTTGCTATTTGGTCATATGATTTTAAAATTCAGCGCAACTTCAGTTATTGAGGACTGAAAATGCAACAAAATTTATAATTACGGGACTTAAATTGCTAATAAGAAATTTTTTGGATGGATTTTTAATTAGCAGTTTAAGTCCTGTAATTTTAAATTTTGTTGCAATTTCAGCCTCAACCCAAGTGATTGAAATTGCAGCAAAATACTAAATTACATGATCAACAAAAAGTCAAAATATTAAGACTAAAAATGCCACGACGTTAACCAGCAGGATTAAAAAATACAATTTTGCCCTAAAAGTTTTGAAACAAAATTGCACATAACAAAATGTAAAATGGAATTGAACAAATTTGATAGAAATCCAATTAATTCGAACCGATTTAACTTATATGGACTCATGAATTAACCTAACCTGTGGAAGGTTTGCTTTTTTTCTTTTTTTATTAAACCGAAGTATGTATTTCACTACATTGCCTCGTGATTGAAAGTTTTCTTTATTTTATTTTATTTTATATATATGAAATTCAAAAATAGTGAAGTAAAATTTAAGATCATTATATATATGTTTTCATAATTTATATTGCATGTTTTTCATGCTTTCTGCTCGTCCTCAAGTTTTTGAATTTACAATAATGTGATATCTTGCTCCGTTGACTTGTGAAATGAAATCTTGTTAGTCTCATTGCTTTACCTATAAATAATACTCAGTATTTCACTTACTGTATCAATAAATATTAATTCACTGAGATTTAATGTTCTTATTTATCATGTAATTATAATTGTTGTTTATAATTTTTAGCCTATTAATAAAATAGGAAAATATATTTTGATTATAATTAAGATAAGCATGAGATCAACCTTATTCTGTCAATCATCTACTACGCCGATCTGACAAATGGACACATTGACATTACACTACAAAGTCGACCTGCCGATCTAAATACTGAAAGATGGTGCATCCTTCGTGCCGATCTGGTTTGGCGTATGAAAGGAGCTAATTGCCCAATTGCTAAGTGAACGTCTCATCTCCTAGAAGTTGAGAGTTACTTTAACCATGCATTAATTAGGAGAAATAGCTAGTCGAAAAACATTTTTTATATCGCGTGCAACTTCAACATAACTTCAGTTGATATAGTAAGTGTCACCTTTTTATATCGGGCGACACATCATATAAATAAACTACTATTCACATCGGGTTAATTACTGTTGAGATGTTCATCATCTAGCTTGGGAGATCATCATCAAGCATGCAAGGTGACGTGCATGATGTCGTGTATGATGGAAAGATTAGAAGATACGTTTTCTTCCTTTTGCGTTTTATGTTTCATTTCCTTTTTCTCGTGTAAGTTGTAAGTCGCATTTCACTTACTAAGTCGTAGGATATTTTGCTAAGACGTGTTACGCCTTTTGCTTTGTTTAGTTTGTTAAAGGTAAAATTCCAAAATTGGTCATATATCTTGACCCATTATTCAAAAACCCACCCCATCATTGACCACTTTCAATTTGGGTCATACAATTTGTCTATTTCATCATTTTTGGTCCTTTTTAATCCACACCCTGGATAAAAAAAATGACGGTGACATGTTTTATATCTGATGTGAAATGATTGTGGTTTACGTGGCAGGATTATTGTAGGCGCGAAACTTATCACAATTTGCCCCCAAATGTGCAACCTAATCGACACTCGTCAAATTCTTTATTTCCAAATCCCTGAAAACCTAAAACGTGAAAGGAGAGAAAATCTTCGACTCTCTCACATAATAAAAAATCTTCAACTCTCTCATATGATCAAAATTGCCTGAAGATGGTGAGGAAAAAATGAAATTCTTTAAGGATAATAAGTCTAAATTAGCGAAGGAGGATTTCTAAATTGGAGGAGAAATCAGAAATTGTAGTGCAGGAGAAATAGAAATCGACAATAGAGACCTCTCATTCTCAACCAGTGAAGCAGCAATCTGAACTTCCACTCAAGGTGAAATAGCAATCGATGAAGGAGACCTCTCAATCACAACTAGTAAAGCAGCAATCTGAACCATGAATGAAGGAGAAAATTGCTCAGTTTGATGTAGACAATCTCAGTTTGATCGAGAAAGTTGCTCTAGAGTTCTAGTCCCCAACTGTCAAATGAAATTTCGGCGAAAAGAGGTTGATTACCTTCCTACTTCTAGATATGGTTAGTATAATCTTTTGAAATTAGGGTTTATAATTTTTTAAGTTAAGGTTCATAATTTTGAAATTAGGGTATTTAGAATTTTTTGTTGTATTTTGTTTGCATTTCTTTGCTGATCAACTTTCTTTTTTGTTTGGTTTGTAAGAACCCAAAGTAAGTTTTTCGCATTTGGTCTTCATTATAAAGGTTTCTTTGACCAAGATCACAATTATACAACATAGTTAGGAGGTTCTACAATTATGTTTGATTTTGTTGACCATACAAATGTATGTTTTGATGATTTTAGAAACCTTCATGAAAGAAAAGGTATAAAGAAACCTTTGAGACTGTATCAAAATAAGGGACATGTGTTTGTGTTAGTAAGCTCACAGCGTGATTTAGGAAAAAAATTGGGAAGATAATAGAATATATAGGGAAGTAAACTTGTATGTGGATGAGATTAGAGAAGTGCAAAAAGAACAGGAACATGGTGATAAAGGTGAGGTTGAGGAGGTTGAGGTTGATCTGGGTGACTATGAAATAAACTTGAGTCATGGGAGTGTGATGTGAGCTTTGCTGAGGGGGATAAGGGATATCGTGTTGTGAACTTAGATGAGGGGAATAATGGAGGTGGTGCAGAGATCTTGGGTGAGGGGGATAAGAGAGATGGTGCAGAGAGCTTGGGTGAGGGTGAGGGTAGTAACGGAGATGGTGCAGAGAGCTTGGGTGAGGGTGATAAGGGAGATAGTGCAGAGAGCTTGGGTGAGAGTGAGGGTAGTAAGGAAGAGTATCTTCAAAGTGAGGAATCCAGTGATGAACTTTGTGATTGGGAATATGATATGGGGGATGACAAAGTAGATGATAAGTTGTTTGGTGACAATGTTGATAATGATGTTAAATGGTTTGGTGGTCAGAGTGAAAATGAACCTGAAAATGAGAATGACAATGAAAATGAAAATGAAAATGAAAATAAAAGTGAGCGAGATGGAAATGTGGTATACCAAGAGGAGTTACATAGTGAAGATAGTTCTGATGAGGAGAAAGTGAGTTATAAGTTTCTTGTGTCTAATCCTAATGACTTGTATGAACCAAACTTCAAGTAGGTATGATGTTTGCCACAAAATATGAGGTTAGGATAACTATACATTTAAGTGCCATTAAGGCAAAAAGAAATGTGATAGTTAGCAAAAAAATGTGAAGCATTACCTTAGAGCTAAGTGTGGTGATAGTAATGTTTATGGAATATTAGTGCAGTTAGAGTGAAAAATGAGCAGACCTTTCAGGTTATCAAGCATAACCCTAGACACACTCATGCAGTGACAAGAAAGGTAAAAGTTTTGAAATCCACTTGATTGGCTGGGAAATATGCCGCTGTTTTTCAGGATGATCTCAAAGAGTTGCTAAAGAATTTAGAAATCAAGCAGCAAGAGAGCTTAAGGATCATATTTCTAAACAACAAGCACACAAAACTAAAATGCATGACATTGCTGATAAAAAAGGTGAACTTAAGGAGCGTATGCTGTTGGGAAATAAGGTCGGATAAGATGGAATAATAATAATACACCAATGTGAAATCAATAAAAGACACGAATATTTGTTAACCCAGTTCGGATTAAATCCTACGTCTGGGGGCGAACCAAGCCAGGAGAATGAACTAGAATAAGAGGATAAACTGAATGTTACAACTCACACAAGCCCGTATGAATACACTCTCTCTACTCTTTCTTCACACTTATATGTATTTCTTTTTCACTTGGATTGGATACAAATGAGGTTACAAAATGAGGTATTTATATCCAAACAAATCCTTCTTGCGAGGAAGTTGAGAGGAAGCTCCCTTCCTTTGACCAGGAAGTTGCAAGGAAGTAGCCTTCCTTTGACCAGGAACTTACAAGGAAGTTCCCTATCTTTTACCAGGAACTTACGAGGAAGTTCTCTTTCTTTGACCGGGAACTTACGAGGAAGTTCTCTTTCTTTGACTAATCTTCACACCT